TGGGCAGCCCGTTCCAGGGCCTAACTACTCTCCTTGTGAAGAACTTCCCCCTAACATCCAACCTCAATCTTCCCTCCTTCAACTTGGATCCATTTCCCCTAATCCTTAATTCTAGCAGATATCTACACCTTCTGACACTGCTGTATGAATCCTTCCCAGCTTCCAAAGTTGTCTTTCTGCTCAAATGAGTTTGCATCAACACTGAAGCGGTGACTTCAACCACACAGATGACCCAAAAAAGCTTCAAGCTTATCAAGAGAACATGAATTTTTAAAAGTCTACTGTAGTTATCTTGCTAGTGGATGAATACTCCCAAGACCTTCAATCCAGGCTGAAATTATTTTTAGATTTAATTAGACTGAATCTCCCGTAATGACACAAGAAACAACGCAGCACACAATGGCAGAGGAAGTGAAAGCATTCAGTAGTAAGATTTTGTGAAAGGCACGTAAAAAATGGTTCAATTATCTGAATGTGAACAACTGGACATTATTTTTTGATACAGAATTTTGACAATCCTCCTCCACCAGACTGGAACTGCAGACAGTCAATCCCAGTTCAGTGCCCAAGAAGACAATGGGAGAAACCTATCTGATGAACAAAGCCTTACTGCCATGGTTTGAGGCCACTTACCCATGACAATCTGATCTACTGCAAAGTCAGTAAAGCACAGCTGTAAACAGAGGAGGAAACAGCCACCGTGTTCCTAATTTCAATAGGGCAATTATGACTGCCCCCAGACAAGAGACTCCTACCAAAAAATAAAACTGCATTAACACAGCTTCGTGTACCAGGTGTTTTTTCATGTATGCAAGCAAGTAGGTGAAAAACAGAATGAAATAAGATAGCTGATTGCCTCGAGCATTATTGTTTCAGTTGACAAAAGCAAAGCAAGCTGAAGTAGGGGTGGGTGCTCCATTGGATCCAACAGGATCACGACAAGTGGGAGCAGCCATCAGAAGATGCCATTTAGCAGGAACACCAAAGAACTGCTTGGTGTAGGCAGTCAAGGAACACAAAGCAGCAGTCCTGCCACGTGAGATGTGACCACTGCTAAGGATCCCACTGGATGTGAGTCAAAAACATACTGTAAAAAACACATTTGTCCTGTGATGCAAATGGGAATGCCATCTGCAAGATGCACCGAGCCGTCCTTCCACTCCACTGAGCCCTGGGCCGGGCCCAAGTGGAACTGCGGCCAGTTCTACTCATCACACTCCTGAAAACGTGACTGAAAAGCACCGGGAACAGTAAGGAAATACAACTTACACAAAACGACCGTGACAACCGACCTAGAAAAGCACAGAAGGTAAGTGCTGATGGAAAGGAAACACTCGGAACTGTATGGATATAAGGAATAAAACGCCCAAAGAGGCAAGAGAGCTGGGTTAGGTTCACAGCTAAGAGACCTTTCCAGTTAAAAATAAGCAGAATCCATTTACCCAGCTTTCACCTCAAGAGGTTCCTCAATAGGAGCCGCAGCACCTCCACGGCTTGAAGCTGAGCAGTTTCCACACTGGTTTTACAACCGAACGATGAATCACAGGCCAGCATTGTCCTTTACAATGCAAGTTTTTTTACAATCGCCTCCTCTAAAGGAGTGCTTGCAGCAAAAGAAACAGCTCATTGTGAAGGAGAGAACGCACCTCATTCACGAGCAAAACAAGCAGCCTTCCTGCAGGACTCTGCTGCAGGGACAGTCAATGCTCGCTGTGTACTTCAGCACTTAGCAGCACTTCCACTTGGATTGCTTCTTGACCTAATTAACGCTATTGTTTGAAGAGCCAGTACGAGCAGTTGACGCCTCGTTACCTGTTAGCAGATATCTGTAAGGGTTTAATGCCATTTTCAAGCGTATACACGTTAGTCATCTTGCTTGTATTTAAGTTTCCTATGCGGGAGTTGTAGGAGGAAGGAGAATAGAAATGGTGGGGGGAACAGAACTTTGAACATCTTCCTCGATGCTCAGCCCACACTCACGCTCCATAAATGCTGTACGAAACCATTTCTTAGTTTTATCTGGGGACCGCTAAAATCACATCAGAATACCAGAAGGCAATCAGTGCAAAATGGCTGAAGAGCTGCAGCCAGAAACAGCATTCACCATTTTTTAAAATGCAGGATTTTAGGGATTCTGTCCTTCAGACAAGACGCGAGAGAGCCTGCTTTTAAGTGCACGCTGCCAGACCAGAGCTCTGAAAAGGGAAGAACTGGAAAAAGTGATTCAGATCGTGCAGCGCTGTGCTAAAGACTGCAAATTGAACAGGAGCAGCTCAAGTATCTACTTCAGCCGTCAGCAGAGAAGCAGCCATGCTCCTTTAAACCTTACCAAGTACCAGCATCTTCAAGCCTTGGTTTTGAAGGAAGCAGCTGAAGGAAGGTTGAAAACAAGCCACCAAGGAAGGCATGGAGTTCATCACCAAAGAGCCAAGCTCCTTTCCACAAGGAGAACACTGCTCTGAAGTGGTGACTTTCCAACCAACACCAGTTGCAAACTACAGGTTTACACAGAGCTTCCTGACAGACTGATTTTTTCCAGCTGTTCCTCTTCAGGCTTCCTCGCCTCTCTTCTAAGCCTCCTTTCTGTCACTTCACCTAACTCACCTGCTGGACACAGACATCAAGAAATTGACAAGTGCCTCCTAAGAACCCTTGGGAGAAGTTACATTTTTGACACACAACTTTCTCTGTGATCCCCAGGTGTTTATGTAAGAGCTTGAAATATAATCCTTACAGATGCCAAAAACCAATTTCCTGTTTTAGTCAGCTTAAATCTATACGTGGTGCTAATTAAAACTATACTGGATTACATTAATTCTAGAAAAATTCAGCAGCAATCTCTTGTCAGAAGAAAAAAGGCTGCTTCCAACAAGCACTGGGCAGCCCATGACCTGCAGCTTCAACAGGTACGTAGCTCAGTGTTGCTGTATGCAGAACGACCCCTGGCATGTCACCTTTTCACTACAGCAGTAACATATCAGTAACATATAATAGGATTCTCCTGGGCATACATCTGGGGTTTCTGCTCCCCACACCTTCAAAGCACACCCCGGCAATGTTTAGGTAGTTGCCACTGACAGATTTCCACATGCCTTTTCAAGTTAAACTGTTTTCCAAACAGCTTACCAGGAGTACATACAACCCAGAAAACAGCTGTACCTATTCTTCACGCCACAGCAAAAGTGGAAATGATTCAGTAAGCATCCCACTGGCCAGTAGTTGCAGAAAAATCAGCTCTTCTGTGGCTGGGCCTGACATGCAAGCTTGAAACTTGCTTCTCTGCTATGACAGCATTCAAATGGGGAGCAGAAATTCAATTGTAGCAATGCACCTTTTTTAGAAGGATCTCTGCCTTTGGAGTGCTCCAGTCCTTCCCAATAAGATTTTCACTTCTCATGTAAATTCCTAGCTCAGCACACATGCTCAGAGTATCCCCTATCATTTATTGCTGGGATAACCCTAGTTAACCACATAAAAATTAATGAGCTCCCAGAAAACTCCTGGGGCCTGTAACCTTATCTCATGCCAAAAACTGCTACTGCTAGGTTAGCTTCATGTCAGCAGTGGAAGCCAAGAGTGAAGCAGAGAAAGGCTAAGGCCTGCCATCTGCCCCCAAAATGTATTCAACTGTTGACCTTAGACACATAACTACTGTTAAAATGCAAGCGCCTGCACTGCCTATCAAGCAGCTAGTTAGCATCCTTAGACCAGCTGCCAGCATTTGACACCTTGCTTGCTAACTCAACACATGAGCAGCTTCAAGCACACGACCTATTTAACTCACACGTCACCTCACTTCACCCAAATACCACGGGAAACATGATGTGGGCAGATTAACCTGCTGAAACTATGCTGCAATAGCACAGACTGCATCAATGCAGAAGAACCAGACTTTGTAGCCACAGCAGTCCAACTGGCCACTGACCAGCAGGATTTGCCCAGCCTCTGGTGCTCCTTAGGAAAGGCCCTCACAATGCAGAAAGCCCACAGGTTTCCTCCATGCAACAGCATGGGTGCTTGGTTAGCAGTCACTTTGGTTTCAGACTGCAAAACGCACACATATTGAGGAAATAAATCCACCCTGGGATGTTTGGGCTGTTGTTTCTTACATCTCCATCTCCTATCGTTGTTAAATAGGCTGAAGGCCTCAGTACTTCTTTCCTACAGCAAATGGTCAAAGACGACCTCGTGCTGCAATGCAAAACCTACCTCAAGAAAAAAAGGCTAGGATGGTATAAGTGCACAGCAGAGAGGACAGGGAGAGATGAGAGGCCAAAGCGGCCACAGATCAGTGCGAATAGGTGTACACGCGAGGTGTGGTTTCTCTGCAGGTAACAACTCCCCAACGCACACAAGCCTTGCAGCTGAGCTCCTGCCCTTGTCTTGCCATAACGCCACACAGGGAACCCCGCACACCCCATCCCTCCTTCAGAGCCACCTCTCATCTCGCAGTGCCACAGGGTGTCCCGGCTCACCAGGAGATGCACGGAGCTCCTCCAGCCCCCGACCGCCACGCACTTGGCTGCGAACTCCCCGGGGAGGAGGCACGCCGCGCCACATTTAGCTCACACTCTCCTATAAAGCGCAGAGAAGGGTGGTTTTTTTTTTTTTCCCCTTTTTTTTTTTTTTTCCCTTCCCTCTTTTACGCTCCTATCACAGCACCTCCTTAGTTGCTAAGGAACTACGACTTTATTGCATTATAAATCACCGAAAGCAACCCGGCAGATGCAGGTTCAGTGGGCGGGAGGAGATGGTCGCGCTGCCGGGCGCGGAGCACCTCAGCACCGGGCAGCGCAGAGGGGGGGGGAGGCCGGGGCTGCCACCCCCCCCCCCCACCACACAGCGGGACTGCAGCCCCTCCCCGCCCCCCGCGAACGGCCTCGGCGCCCCCCCGCCCCACATGACCCTCGTCCCCCGCCGTAGCCGCCCCCATAGCAACCGGCGGCCCCGTGGCAACGCGCCCCCCCACCCCCCCTCAGCTCCCCTCACGCCGCCCTCACCGTTCTGCGCGACGGAGGGCGCCGGCAGCAGCGCGGCCGTCAGCAGCAGCAGGGAGAAAGCGGCGGGGAGAGGGCCGGAGCGCGGCATCCTCCCGGCTGCGGAGGGAAGCGAGGTGGGAGGGAGGGAAGGGAGGAAGGAGGGCGGCGAAGCGGCTCCGGCTCCGTCCTTCTCCGCCGACCTCCTACCGCAGCGCAGCGCCGGCTCCCGCGACGCCACGGACGGCTCTCGCGAGAGTTGGGAGGGGCGGCCTGGGTCTGGGCGGAGAGGGAGGGGTCACGTGGTGTGCGCAGCGCGGGATTTGCGTTTCCCCCTCAGGCGCCATCTTGCGCTCGCTTCGAGAGGGGTCTGGTTGTACTGGCGGGGAGGAGGACGCTCAGGTCCTGCGTCCGTGCAGAGTTTCAGTCTCTTTCCACGTGTCCCAGCAAGCACAAGGCTGGGGCTGAGGTGATGCTCTTGAAATCAGTTTTGCCTTTCAGCCGGAACCTAAAACCTCACTTTTATCCTTCATTCTCTACAATCTTGAAGTAGCAGATCCACAGGAAGGCAGGCCAGGAGCAGCTTTCATCTCTGCTTGCTTTCATTTCACTGTTGCTGTGAGCTGGCTTTTTCCACAGACCTCATTAGCAAAGATATATATATATAATATAAAATACTGAGTTTGATGCTCTGTCTTGCATTGGTGGATCCTAAAGTCCATCCCAAAGCACTCTGCTTCTAGGCATGCGTAGATACCCAAACCCATGAAAGATCCAACAAATAATTTTTCCCTTATGGTATAAGTTTAAACACAACTATCGCTTACTAACAGGTCTTCCCCCACCTTTCCCCTCACCCAACATTGGATTTCTGTGTGGAATTTACTCAGCAAAAGCATTGTGCATTTTATAAAAGTGAAATGCTGCAGTAGGTAATAAACAGGTGAAAACACTGGGAAATTCCCTCTTGTGGATAATGCAGAGGTCTGGAGCAAGAGCCTGCATGTAGTTGGGACCCACCAGCACAGAAGCCCACTTGTTGATAATTATTTGAGAAAGTAAAATAACACTGTGGGGATTTATTTTGTCTTATTTTGTTGTTGGTTTTTGTTTTTTGTTTTTTCCGAATTAGGTGCCCTGCCCCTCTGATTGCACAGACTGGAAGCTGAAGCCACAAAAAGTGAAAGCATTTGCCTCAGGTTAGCCGTGAAATCAACTGCAGAGAGAGCTCAAAAATTCACTCCTGGTTCACTGAACCTGCCAGCTGTCCCTAAAAATAGTCGGCATGCTCTCACCTCGAGGCTTGTTTGGTGAGCTGTGAGCAGGTCACCTCGGTTTTCTCTGTATTTCCCTATCTATCTATAAAGTACAGATTTGGGGTCAGATACACTAGTTATGCACCATGCTGGTGACCCCAGCTGACCGTAACACTGATTTAGCTGACATAAAAGCAGACTTTGGTCTGCTGTCCCTCCTGGGCTGGCTCTGACAGTCAGGGTGCACTGCTGAGTGGTTTAACATGCATCCAAGGTAGGGAGATTTGCAGGGAACTGAAAAAAGGGAAAAAACGGCACAGAAACACACTGGGAGAAAAAAAGGCAATCGCTCAAGAGTTTATTTTCTGCTTTTTGCTGAGTCCTCTTCTTCCACTCCAGAGATCTCTGCAGGCTCAGGACTCCCAGAATAGCTGTCCAAAGATTGCCCGGCCTTTTCTTCTAGCCAGAGAAGGGCCTCTGGGAGGATGCTCATGCAACCAGAAGCTGTTTTCCCTTTCCAGGGAAAACTTTCCTGCTGTTAAACCCTATTAATACAGCTTGTTTCACAAGGGTGCAGCTGCTTGACTTTGCATCCCTGAGTGCTTTGCTTGGTTAATTCTCAGGAAATTGAATAAGAGTGCTTTCCTCGTTGGCGTGACTCAAGGAGGATCAGGCACACCTTTTTCATGGAAACCCTGAACTTGGTTGAAGCTGACAGAAGCGCTGCTCTGGCACTTCAGGTGGGCTTACATTCTGCTGAGCTCACAGGAGAGAAATGTTGAGGCTGTTGGCAGTCCTGGCTGGCCCTAGCTGTCTAAAGGTGCCACAACACTAAACTCAATCTACATCAGATGTTCCACTGTGCCGCGTATCCTGCACTTGAGCACTTCCATGCTGCATTTCCGTGACTCACTATCCTTGCCAGCTGAATCATCCATGACACTACTATTTGTTTTCTTGCCATGGTACAGAAACATCCTCTTTTCTCCCCTCGTTTGTTTTCCTGTGGAACAATTCTGACAGTAGCACTGGAAAACCAGAAGGAATAAGCGAAAAGAACCAGAAAGCAAGATTTCACATGATGCTTTCCTTCCCTCTGCTTTCTGCATGCTGTTTTTCCTGCTCCGGAGGATTTTGCTATAACTCTCATTTTTGCAAACACCCACTTGGTATTAGGCCTTACCTACACCCGAGTGTTTTCCAAGTTTGGAATCAGTCAGCAATGTACTTGCCTCTGAGCATGGTTTGTATCTGCACAGTAATACTTGTTTCGTAACCATGGCAGCTCACAGTGAGTCATGCTGCCAGAGGCCTGGGCAGAAGTTAGCAGGAGGCTTCAGCACGCTCTTGCTTCCCTCCATCTTCTCCCTACAATTGTGTAACTCATCTGGTTTTGTGGTAGAGACAGACGTGCTGCGAGCATGTAATGCAAGAAACCAAAGCAGAAGATAGCCATGACTGGTGACAAGATCACAGTACTGCCCAGTTCAACCCCTTACCTTCAGGAGTCTCTTAGGAAACTTAACCAGGGTTACTGCAGATCCTCTATGTACATGGACTGTATATACTCAGTATCTCAGGTATGCAGCATGACTAGCATGGAATGAAAAGCTGTTTTTTCTCTGTGCACAAGTATACCTTCTTTTACCAAAATCACATACAACATATAATGGCGTTGTATAGAAAAATAGTTTGCCAGCACTGGGTTAACTAGCTTGATAGTAAGGGTTCTATTACAAAGGGAAGTATTCCACCAGACGGAGTTGTTACAACGGGCCCATAAGTAGCGGTGGTTGGTGCTAGATTCCTTCTTGTTCAGCATCTTCATCAGTGACCTGGGTAAGAGGATAGAGTCCACTGTCTGCGAGTTTGCTGATGATACAAAGCTGAGAGGAGTGGTTGACATACCAGAAGGAAGTGCTGCCATTCAACAAGTCCTGGACAGACTAGAGAGTTGGGCAGGGAGGAACCAGATGAGGTTCAACCAAAGCAAGTGCAAAGTCCAGGGAGGAATAACCACATGCATCAGTACAGATTAGGGGCTGACCTGCTGGAAGGCAGCTTTGAGGAGAAGGACCTGGGTGTCCTGGTAGACAACAGGCTGATCATGATTCGACAGGGTGCCCTTGTGGCCAAAAGGCCAGTGGTGTCCAAGGGTGCCAGAAAAGATCAGCCAGCAGGTCGAGAGAGGTGATCCTCTCCTCTGCTCTGCCCTGATGTGGCCTCATTTGGAGTACTGTGTCCAGTTATGGGCTCCCCAGTTCCAAAAACACAGGGAGCTGCTGCAGTGTCCAGCAGAGGGCCACATCTGGAGCATCTCCTGTATGAGGAAAGGCTGAGAGACCTGAGACAATTCAACCTGGAGAAGAGAAAACTGAGGGAGGGTCTCACAGTTGTTCATAAATATCTGAAGTGCTGATGGGGATGGACCGTTTTTGGTGGCGTGCAGCAATAGAACAAGGGGCAACGGGCAGAAACTGAAACACAGAAAGTTCCATACTAACACAAGGAAGAACTTACTGTCAGAGTGACAAAGCACTGGAACAGCCTGCTCAGAGAGGTGGTGGAGTCTCTTTGTGATATTTAAGACATGCCTGGATGCCTACCTGTGCAACCTGCTGAAAGAAAGCTGCTTTAATGAGGGGTTGGACTCAATGATCTCTAGAAGTCATTTCCAACCCCTACAATTTGTGAATCTGTAATGCAAGGGCTTACAGATGATGATTTTGTTGATTTCTTCTTGCTTGTGTGGGCATAGTGATTCCTGACCTTGTGAGTGGCAAGGGGAGCTCAGGCTCATCAACATTTCCAAACAGTAACTCAAACTCCTTGCACTTCCCCTTTCTCTCAAGACCCATCTTTTCACCCAGCATATATCAATTCTGGTTATTCTGAGACTTCAGCAAAAGCAGGACTGAAAAAATCAGATTCAAAGCAAAGAGGAAGAAAAATCAGCAATTCCTGTGCTTTACAGAACAGCAAGGAAGCCTTGTCTTTGTGTGTGTGCGCGTGTGTCATCTTGGAGCTGTCGTCTTGCAACTGGGAGTGTTTAAGACATCCTGTTATTTTGATGTATTTATTGATACACTTTGGCACTTGAAGAAAGCTCTGCCTCTGGAAGCCTCACTCACAGTCACCTTCCTTTGAATCTATTATTGGAAAGTTGAAAATGTAGGGTAGAGCATGAAATGCTCAATGACGTCTAGCAGCACAACTCAGCTACTGCAGCTGTTCTCAGGGCTGAGAAACGCTGAATAACATTGGTTAAGACTTTGACATGCCAGTGAAAGCACAGATCTATGCTTCAGCTGGCTCAAATCAGCTTGTAGACACACACACACAATGCCTCCGCCTTGCAAGACTGCATTAAGTGCATGATCACACTGCGTTTGCATTGTATGTGCAGATATAAATGACCAAACACAATGCAACACGTGTGTGTGCAGTACATAAGGCTGGCCAGACCCAAACTCAGCTGCTGGCCCTTGGGAGCTGTTGCCTGTCCTGCAGAAGCCAAAGTAGCTCTGGCCCTCTGGTCATGCATGTATGACTAATGGCTCATCTCCCTAAAGGCAGGTGGGAAATACCGTTAAGCTAATAAGATAACAGAGCCCTAGCTCCTCCCTGGGCCATTCAGGAGAGCCATCAGGACATAGGTGACACCCATCCTTTTTGAGTCTCCAGGAAGGTTCTCTGGCAGTCCTTACAGATGTCCTTGCTGCCTGAGGGTCTGGGATTGCTGCAACATCATACACACACTCTGGAGTGGGAGTAGGAGCAAGTGTCTGTATTGGGAACACAGGCTCAGCATCACTGCTGGCTGGGCGTGAGGACATGGAGCTGCAGGACTGAGCTGCCAGATGCAGCAACTCCTGCTGCCACCAATCTAAAATTATGGCAAGCAAATGGAGGAAGTGCCTGAAGGGAAAAAAAAAAAAAAAAAAAAAAAAAAAAAGAAATCCAGGTGATTTTGTGCAAAGAAATGTAAGAAAA